GGGCCGCCCTCCCAGCCAGCGCTGTGCGGAGCCCGCGCGGGGCTGCGTTCGGTCAGTCCTCACCAGGACACAAAGACCTGTGACCATCTTCCAGGAACCGCCCTACCTCTGCACCCGGTAGGACTGGGGTGACACAGCCACCCGAGAGGGAGCTGGGAGCACTAGAGCCATGGAAATGTAGGTCAGCATTCCCCTGAAGAGGGAAAAAACAGAGGGGAAAAAGCTCTGCTTGTCTCTGCAGTTGCATTCAGCTCAGCAGGACGTAACCTGCGAACTTCTATAATGACACTGCAATTTGCGTTGATTTTTGAGCCTGTTCTCTGCTCGCTGTGATGTTTTAACTGTCTGTTGCAGAGGTTTCAGAGTTATTTTCTGTGGATGTACCCTTGCTTCAGTGTTCTTCTGACTATGACTTGTAGTATTTCTTTTCTTCATCCATGGCAGCAAAGGTGTGTCCTCTCATGCAGACAGAAAGCTTTGTGCACACAGTTCAATTTTTTTTTGTCCCCAGAGCAACCATTATTATAGCATGTTTATCTATATTTAGCCTAGTAGATTGTGCTTGTTCTTCAGTGTCTCTTTCCCCCTGGAAAGGAGCTGCAGCTCCCCATTCCCTCTCCTCTCTCTTCACCAGGCTTTCACACCTGTGATCACAAAATATATGCTATTTGCTAACATCAATTTTTTATAATGTTCTTGATCGAGAGCAGTCCCCTGAGAATATGAAGCACCTGAGGACCTTCAGCAATCAGACTCCAGTCCTTCATTTTTCAGACTCTTCTTGCCCCCTAACTCTGCCCTTTGGCCCATCTTCCTTTCCAGCTGTGAAGTACCTTTCCAGCTGTGACTCCTCCACCCTTTCAGATTTACATATCGGAAGGCTCCCAGGTCTGTTACAAACCGCAGTGCCCTTTTTGCTGGTGTTAATCACTGACGAGGCTGCAGGAGCCCTTGTGCACATCATCCGATCTTTGTGTGGGAGGCTGGTTCAGGTTTTTGGTAGTACAAGTGCCTCTCATGATGCCACACGTTGAAATGTGTTGTCCTGCTGCTGACTGTCATGAACTTAACACACACCTCATGCGTTTGCCTCGGTCACCCTGGTCAGTGACATTCTGTATTACCATATTAATTTCAGCTAAGAAATTAAAGTGAGCCATAAATAAAATGGAATATCGGGCAAATGTCTTTCTGTGCAATAAATAAAGCAGTTGTTTGATATCAAAGATTTGGATCAGGTCCCAGAATGAAAAAATCCTCAGCAGATGACCACCTTCAACAGTCATTCCAAGCACAAAGTGATTTTCTCCTTTAATGATAAGTCTATTGATTTGGCTCAATGACACCACAGCTCACCTGAGAAAAAAAGAGTATAACAGATGGCAGTTTCCAGGAATTGTGACTAATTCATCAGGAGTTTTTGGCCAGGTCATTTGTCTAATAAAATTGAAGAAAAGCTCAGTTTTATCTCTAGTAAAACTGAGAGGTTTCTTGCAAGAGCCCTGTAATGCTTTGCTCAGTATTATTTCTTGTACCTCTGCCGAAAGGTTCTTGAGGGCAGTGCTAAAATGGGTGAATTCATCCCAATGCAGGCACTGCATGCGTAGCCCATTTGCTCTCTAATCTCAGATAAGAAAGTTATGGCACAGTCTCTCCAAGAGCCTCCATACTCCAGAGCTCCTAATGTCTCTAGTTTCATATTCTTTAAAACGTTATCTTAGCTGAATCTGCAAAAGCCTTCTATTTTTTGCACAAAAGATGCTCTAGAAAGGTGAAGGAATTATGTAGTAACAGAGGTGCTGAATATAATAAGAAAATTTTTTGCCTTAATGCAGAACCAAAGTCTTGATCTGAAAGTGCCAATTTCCTGCAGACAGGATGAGCTTCGGGAAGGACGTGGTGCCCGGAGTGCAGCTCTGGCTGTGCTGTTTTGAAACTGGCTGCAGTTAGAGATGCTGAGCAATCAGGAAAACACGAGCCTTAAAGTTTGACCCTAAAGCTCAGCAGCAACACACAGTGCTTCCCTCTTGATTACCAGGAGCTGCCATCCCTGGTCACCCAGTCGACCCCATCCTGTAATGCTGCCATCACTGTTCAGCCTTGTTGTACTGTCCGGAGCCTTCTTCCTCAGCCTCATTGGCTTGGTTTGGTAATTTCCCAAGTGGGCTAGTTGATGAAACTTGTGATTTATTTGAAGTGAATAATTTAAAAGATGCATCCAGAGAAAGGCACATTTGTGCTTGGAATATCAAATTCTTAATAAGTCTTTATGATTCATATTTATGAAAACAGCTCCGCCCAAAGTGGAATGAGGGCTAGAGAGGAAAAAAAAAGCAACGCAAGGACACAGAGGACATATCCAGACAAGAGAGTTGTATGTCATTCTTTTCTCTCAAGTACTCCCCAGCGATTTGATGCCCGTTCTTGAGCGGCCAAACTGAAGAAGGGAGGGCCCGACGGATTTTGTGAAGCAGTGTAAGCGGCAAGGGGAGACATGTGCTCTCAGATCAGTCGGGCACCGTGTGAGCTCTGACATCTCGCTTACACTCTCCCAGCAGTGCCCACGGGTCACCAGAGGGACCTTGAGTTTTCCTTTCTTCCTTCAAACTCAAGCCTGACAAGCACCACAGATTTGATAAGGAAATCTGTGTCTCGGTGGGACTCAGAGAGCTCACAGGTTGCTGTCCTGCTGAGCTGTGCCTGCCCTTTCCCTGCCCGAGGTGGTCCGATGGTGGAATTTGAAACTGCTGAAAAGCTGGATGATAACTTCATGGGGAGGGGCTGAAGGATTTATTCCTCCTCACGAGATGCTGACATGGAGGTGGAAGTTAAGTGGTTGTGGCGTGATCCCAGGGCCTTCTGGATTAGGGTCACATCTGCCTAGCATAGCATTGGGAGGTGTATGGGCCAGGGCTCGGTGTGAGGCAGGAGCCAGTGCCTAACAAAGAGGTGGTCCTTGTCCCTGGAAACTCACAGCCCAAACACTGAACATGCCCGGGTTTGCATAAAGCATGGCAGGCCTGCTTCCACCAGTCCTGATGGACATCTGAGCCACTCCCAGGCTGTCTCTAGAGGAGCTGTACACGTATGTCCAGCCACCCCCCCGCGCTGCAGGACACGCAGTTTGGATGCGCATGCTCCAGGGTGCATTTTGCACCCTGGCCACGGCTAATGCAGGCTGCGGGCAAGAGGCTCCTGTGCTTTACACACTGCACGTATCGTTAAAGAGACATAGACAGGAACATGGTCATGATACAGTGTTTTTAGGTGAAATCACAAATTCTATTTTTATTCCCCAAATTTTCCCAGCTAGATCAGATATTTGCAGCAGGCAAACTTGTATCACTGTTCTCATATAACAGATATATAGGCACAATCGTAAAGATTTACTTAAATGTTTCATAGCATCCAGACAAGACAACAGGCGTTCATTACCAAAGCATCAACTTTTAGGCATATAAAGGTGATCTTATTCTACTTTAACTCATGAACTAAAGCAGCAGTAAATTTCTAGCTGTTGAAGCTAATGACTGAGGGAAGTATTGTCATAGCGTCTCCATCAGTAGAAAGCCACTTCGATTTGATCTCTGTGGTTAGAGGAAACAGCAGCAATTCAGCCACCCTCTTGCTGCAGAGGAGGGTGATGAGTCTGCAAAACACAGCATACAAAACATCTGATGCTTTTGATAATGAGCCCAGCTCTGTCAGGGATGGGCAAGTTCAGTGCCTTAGGAGAAGATGCATGAGGTCAGGAGGAAGAAAAGACTGCCTGCGTTTCATCAGAAGAATTAGGCTGAACTAACCCACAAGTTTCAAAGAAATTCCCTTCAGTGAAGCCAGCCTTGTATTGATCACCTGCACTGCTGTACTTGATCAGCCTGCTCACTGATACGAGTTTAGTGAATAAGGAATAATAAATTAAGTGCTTGCAAAAAAAAAAAAGTGCAAGTAAAAGAGGAGGCAAGAGGAAGGTGGAAGCATTTTGTTTCTTATCCCTACAAATCACATCTACCTCTTATTTCCTTTTCAGTTTGCAGGTAGCAGTTGTGCATATTGTAGCAGAAACCATTCCTACCCCACCCGGGGTTCTCATGATGTTTGAATATCTGGCGCAAGGCTCTTCTGCTTGCTGCCAAAAGTATTTTGTTCCATTCTAGAGACATCCTCTAAAGATGAAAATGGAGAGAGCGCGTAGTACCTGGGAACACTAAAGGGCAAGTAGCTGGAAAGCCAAAAATATAAAGGATTTTTTTTTTTTTAAAAACATAGTGGAATTTTTTGTGGGAGAAAAGTTCGGCTCTCTTTCCCCCCAAATTTAGAAAGACTCAAACCAATCATCATTAAATGACTTCTTGGAGAACTCAATTTTTTTGCTCCCTGAAGGGTAAATAAGGGGATATTTGATGTAACAAGATACATCTGCAAGCAGCCTGGAAGCTGAAATATTTTCTACCAGTTCTCCCACCAGAATATTTTTTTCCTGGAAAACTCCTTTCCATAGAGTATTCTACTTTAGATTTCTGATTCAAAGCTGGTTTTTGTGTGAAATTAAAGCAAATCAAGTTACACATTAACCTCTGTCTTTCAGGACACGTGCACATCACCGATTTCAATATTGCCACGATGCTGACTAAAGAAATACAAGTCACCACCATTGCTGGCACAAAGCCGTATATGGGTAAGAACCTGACAATTATGTGTTCTTGAATTGCCATTTTATGGGCTTGATTTGACAGCAGTGATGGGATACAGATGAAGTCTTTTCTGATGAGAGTTTGAACTCTTTTCGTCCTAATGTGTAACAAAACACATGCATTTGTTTGAAATGAGGAACAACCTCAAGAGGTGCTGCTGCAGGGGAGCGTGGCGGGAGTCCCTCCCCAGCAACACCCTGATGCGGCTGGAAAATGCGCGTCCGTCTACTGATTTCACTCAACAGACCAAAGCAACCGCACTGCGAACACAGATTTTAGTGCCATTATGCCATACTGTACAGCATGTTTTTGATTATAAAATACGATAGTTGCACTCCTGAGATCTCCGAGCATTTCACAAGCAGCAGTCAAGCCATGTAGCAATGAGGAAATGCTCTTGCTACCCTTGAGAAGGAAAGTGAAGCACAAAGGCTTGTAGTTGGTCCCTCAGTACATTAGCCCAAGTCTTACACTGCTGCATCAGTAGCTCAGAATTTGAATTTTTATATAAACTGGCTGCTTTAAAAACTAGCATTACTCTGTGTTTAGGCCAAGTGAGTGGACTTAAGACTTGCTGTTTTCCTGAGCTGCAGCATCCACTCGGCACGGTAGGGAAGAGCCCCTATTCTGGTGTCAAGCTGAGACAGTCGAGAGTATTGCAGTGCTGATGCCAGATCTGCATCAGAAAGAGGGGAGTGAGGCTTTAGCCCTGATCTCTACTGCTGAGGACAGCATCCCATCTTCAAACAGCAGGGCAGGAGGGCAATTGTAACTGGGGTCTGCTGAGCACAGCGGTGACGGATGTGCATTGCCCGTAGGAAAGGGAGGCACAGCTGGTGCAGAAGTGGCTGCCAGAATTGGAAGATAAATGCTATTTTTCAGTCTTTCTGAAAGCCCCTCCTATTGTACCTATGTTGCCGGTAGCAGCAGATGTGGTTATTTCTGCCAAAAAGTGAAAACCAGCCACGTGCAGCCCTGGAAAGGGAGGTGTACAGAAGGGAAAGCCACAGCCAGACTCTGGAGGGCTGTTGAGTCGGTTCCCCAGCACTCAGCACGTTTGCACGCTGACCTGCCCGCGGGGTACAGAGCACGGTGTTGGTGCTATGGAGGTGGGGTACCAGCCTCCAGGTGCCCACGGAGCTGAGTAGCTGGGCTGATTGCTACAGTTACATACGATCCCCTTCCCCTTCTTTCTTCAGTCCACAAAAAAAGCAGTTTTTAGGAAGCTTTTTTATCTCCAGGCAATGGCATGTGACTAGTCCCAGGCAAGAAAACTTGTCAGGCAGCTGTAGAAGTGTATGGGGGGATGTTCACCCAGAGCAAAGTGGCTCCGGAGCAGGTGGATCGCTCCACAGCAGCCTTGGGTCAGCTGGAGAAACAGTTTTCACAAGCAAATCAACACACATGCATGAAGGAAGACACAGAGTGATTGCTCCCTATGCAGACCTCATTTCCCTACTACTCAAAAAAAAATTTGCTGCTTTTTCTTTTATAAGGGGAGCACAGAAAACTTACTTATGTTCACTTACTGGTCAAATCAGTGAAGCAGCTGACTTTTCAGACAGCAAGAGACCCACTTGATACTTATCACACAAGCACAGTTAATAAAACATAAAGCAAAATAATATTGACATACCTGGGAGGAACTGGGGCCAGAGCATGCAGGTAATGAACCAGAGAGAAATATCCTGAGCTAACGCTAAAAGAACTCCTGTGCAAACATTACATAGAAAAGTCTTTGTAACCATAAATTCAACTTCCCTAAGGGAAGCAAAAACACTCAAAAGCGTTTCTATACAGCTAACACAACCCTTCCCACAAAAAAAAACATACTTTCATATACAGTAACACTGTCTCTCAGACCTAAGTAATGCAGCCTCCCTACAGCTGTTGCATTGTAACCAGAAATTCAACTTCCCTAAGGGAAGCAAAACCACTCAAAAGCTAACACAACCCTTCCCACAAAAAAATACATACTTTCATATACAGTAACACTGTCTCTCAGACCTAAGTAATGCAGCCTCCCTACAGCTGTTGCATAGCCAAAGCCCTTAGGGCAATCCCCTGGGAACCTCCTTTTTATCAAGATGACCCAATTAACCTTTCACCTTTGCACCACCAGTGCAATCCTTTTAAAAAGGAAAATGCACAAAAAGAAAGCATTTTTTTTACAGCAATTCTTGCCTCCCAGTTCACAGAAACGTCCTGCAGTATTTTTCTTCCTTAATCTCAAAAGGGAAATTTATTTGCTAAGAAAGAGCATTTCAGTCTGTGCCTCCACCCACTTCCTATTAGCCTGGTAACCTCCTCCTAATAAGCTGTGGCTCTCCGGCTTCGTTCAGTTAAAATTTGCTTTTCCCTGCCAAGGGTGCAGTTGGCACTATGTCTACGTTTACGCTGCATATTAATGTTTCTAAAGAGCTGCTTTCATTCACTGTGTGAGGCTGTATTTAGGCTCTGCCAGATTGAAGTACTTTAAATATGAACAAAGAGATATGAGTGGGACGGGAACAGCTTTCCAACGTGAAGATCTACTGAGCACTAGCTGAGGGCAGAGAGACTTTCTGGGGGAGGTGAGGAGGTAGTCAGGTCAATTTTATGCCTAGATTCAGTGAATTAGGGTTAGTCCTTACTCCCAAGCGCATTTACTGTGGCATAACGGGCAAGTCCTGTGTCAGCAAGAGGAGTTTTTTCTTTTCGGTCTTTGTGGGCAGAGAAGCACTGAGAGATCCACCTGGAGAGGACCGTGGGGCTCTCGGGTGCCCCAGGAGCGGGAGCACAGCGGCGCAGGAAGGGCTCAGCGCCAGGACAGTTGGAGTTTTAGTGCTTTGTAGGAAATTAATTGGGTCTGGTGAATCTCTTAGTGATGATATAAAGCATTCTACAATCCAAATGAATTGGATTGTGTTTATCGAACATTAAACATTCCTGTTACAAAGGTGATAGCACACCTGTTCCTCAAGGCCATCCCATCATCTACACACATTAGTTTTGTAATAGTCCACTGAAGTAGAAATTACTGACAGTCCCATTTCACTGGTGGGGAAAGTAAGGCACAGAGGAGCTGAAACGCTTGTTTGGGTTTTAACACAGTAGAAAACGTTTCATACATTGCACATGTAGTTGGTCAGCAAGGTCAAGGTTTCAAGGTGCGTCTGTTCCCAGGGCAGGCAAATATCTGGGCTAAGCTGGCGTGCTGGGAACTGGGTCAGGTCTGGCTCGCACCGAGATGGCGAGCAGTGCCGAGCAGGACGCGGGGTCGGCGGGTCCTGCTGTGCAGCCGCAGGGAGCAGCAGCAGCGGGCTGCACCGCGCTTCTCAGGGTGGGAGATCAGGGTGGTTTGCACACACGGGTGTTTGCGCTTCCCTCCACGCTGAGGCTCCTCGGTGTGGGATTCGTCTGTGTTGCAAGGCTGAGACAGCAGTCGAGGAACCTGATAAAGACCAAAAAATTAGTTGCTGCAAGGAAACCCACGCGTTCTGATTCGTGTCCACCTCAGTGATGTTTCGGTAAAGGACCAATCTACCAGCCATTGTTTTGAAGAAAAAAGCAGAAATTATCAAAGGCATGGTAATGGGTCTTATGCTCATTTGTGACTTAGGCAGAATAGCAGGGATGCTCTCTGTGGCATGGATCAAGCATTCTGTGTTGCTGATTCCCACTCGAGATTGCAGCAAGGCAAACTTTCCTTTTTCTGTATTTTGCAGCACCTGAAATGTTTAACTCCGCAAAACCCACCAGCTATTCCTTTGCTGTGGACTGGTGGTCGTTGGGAATCACTGCCTACGAGCTGCTCAGGACCCGGGTACTGCGCGCGCGGCTCCTGTCCCCGTCCGTCCGTCTCTTTCCTTAAACACTCTGTGGAAAGGTTAATGCTTTTTAACAGGGATGAAAGGGCCGAGCCAAATTCTGGGGTTATTACAGCTTAGGAAGCAGAAACCACACCTTCACTAGGGTTCTTGTGATCACAGCTAAGAGCTCAGAGAAACTGTCACAATACAGAACAGCGCATCGTGACAGTTCCCGGCGGTGCCCGACAGCCTCTGGGTCGGCATAAGCTAGGCAATGCAAACGAGTGACACCTCCTGAAGTTTGGGTTGCAATATAATTTGCTTTGAGCTCCCATCCTGCAAGGAAAAAAAGAAAACTTGAAAAAAAATCTTGTTGCTGTTATAATAAGACTGAGTAGTTTGAGCAAAATAAACCTCAATGTCTAAATTATTAATAAAGCACAATCCCTGCCTGTCATGTCAGTGTTCTGCTGCTAACTCAGGTAAGGTTGGGGGCCTTGTAGACAGACGATTAGATTAGTGTTTTGGAAATGTTCTGTAAAAAAAGTGGGACAAAATTGTTTAAATTACATTCTTCTAAACAAAAGGTTGTTTAAAATCTTGTGAGGCTAGGAAACTTCTTTCAGTACGAGTATGCCAACCACGTTTTTAAGAAACCATCATCAATCTTTGCAGAATGCCTCAAAAAATGTTTTGATGAATATATTTTAAAGAACAGATTTTCAAATGAATGTGAGTATTTCAAATTGTGAGTGATCAAATTAGTACACATAAGGGGTCACGGTTGTCTGACCTGTTAGGTAACTGAAGCCATGTGCCCCCTGTAAATGTATTAATATAATATTTGAATTTTCCATTTGTAATATTAAATGAATTGCAGGACTGGTCATCACATTGACTTTTGACCTCATGGCACTATTTCCAGAGATGGGAGCAGAAATGCTGTTAGGTGTTCAAACCTGATGGCACAGCCATGATTAAGATGGTGGCACCAGTGGTGGTTACCGCACGGGGGAAGTGAAGGGAGACCTTGAGGTCCATCTAGTGTCGGTACATGTTAAGCACAATGCACCTGCTTTGATCTCACAATTTATAGGTACTATTTTTAAAATGTACTTTTAATACCCTCACTCCCCCGAAACTGTAAAAATCTGGGAATCAAAAATCTTTCAAAATGGAAACACTCTACCGTCGTAAATTCTCTTTCGAAGTACGGCAGTAGTACTGTTGTAGTTGGGAGTTAACCGTGGAGGTCACTTTACCTGCACGGTAACACGGGCTGTACGTTGCCCATCGTTTTAGATTAAGCTCCCCGGGCGCTCCGCTGGCGCCGGGGTGGCCTGGCT